AAGCAGTAAACTGGCTAACTCTCGTATAACCAATCTCCTACTATCGAATGAAGAGGCTCTAACAACCTAATCAGATTCTATCTATCTCAGGTTGAAGCAGAAATTGAGAAAAGCTGATCAGACTCAAATCAATTCAATAAACATGCGTCATTCAATTAAAATCAAACAGTAATATCATCCCAAGTCATTACAATCAAATCCCTAACACAAGGAACTAGGGTTCTTCATACCCAAGTGAAAGAAGGGTTCTACTCCATAGAGAGAGAAGAGAAAACAAGAATCGGATTAGTCATACTCATAACGATGAGGATAATCTGCTCCGGGACGATGATTTCCACTCCTATGACGATCTCCAAGCTCGATTCGATGAAATCCAGCTCTAAGACAGCTTCTAGGATGTGTTCTTCGCACTTTCTCTCTCTAGGGCTCTGTTTTTGCGCTCAAAACACGATTCTCTCACTTTTGGCTCGAATTAGGCTTTAAAATCGACTTTCCCGAGTTGCACGGCCAGGTGCACGGCCGTGCACAACACCATTCTGGCCGTGCACCCTCAAAACGCACCGTATCAATTATTCTGCCTTCATCCACCTTGCACGGCCAGGCGCACGGCCGTGCAAGCTTCAAGCCTGCCCGTGCATGGCCTCGACATGAGGTGCACGGCCAAATGGCTCAAGTGCACGGCCGTGCAGCCTCCTGGTCTGCCCGTGCACTCCCCAAAAAGCTCGCCCTTCGTCCGTTCTTCGTCCAATCGACCCCAGACTCGCTCCTAAGCCTTCATTCACGTACTAGGACCTGAAATAACACAAACAAGCACAACCTAGCGTGAAATCGGCCTAAAACACGAGAATCAACACCTCAAACGGTGTAAGTATGAGGGTAAAAACATGTGTAAATGACGGTCTATCAAGGATCCATGATTCAAATCTGCACCAACAGAAACAAAAACACCCAAGTGAAAAGCAAGGGTGGAAAAGAAAAGAAAAGAAAAAAACGCTAAAGTAACAAACTTCTGCCTTTCCTAATAATCTAGAAAGTCCCCGGCAACGGCGCCAAAAACTTGACACGCCAAAACACAACACCTAACAATGGCCAAGTGTAACCAATGAAAGGGACTGCAGTATAGTGGCACAAGTAATAAATATCGAATCCACGGGTCTCTAGAGTTACTATTACTCAGCTTCAGTTCATTATCTAGCAAACTAGATTAAGAATTGATTGATAAACTACTCTACTGAATACTCTACTAATTACAAGTTGGGAACTCACTTAGGTATGATTCCCCCTAGCTTCTCAATTAGGTCCAAGTTGCAATTACCTTTGGTTGATCTACTGTTGATTAAACTGCGGAAGATCCTAAATTAGCTTGGAATCTCTTAAGCTGACCAAGCCCTCTCAGACAGAATACCCGGCAGGCGACTAGCCTTCACCGGGATAGACTGCTAAGGAGATTCACACAGATCTCCACTACTGGAATGAGCTCCAGTACAAAGCAGTGAATTGATTGACTCTCGCACAACCAATTCACCACTATCAATCAAGGAAGCTCTCTCAATCTAATCAGATTCTATCTATCATAGGTTAAAGCAGAAATCAAGAAAATTTGATAAAGATCCAATTGACTCAATAAATCATGCCTCAATCGATTATAATCAAACAATATAGCATCCAAAACTTCATACAAGAAAGATCCTAACACATGGAACTAGGGTTCCTCAAAACCTAAGTGAAGGGAAGTTACTCCATAGAGAAGAGAGAGACTGCAGAAATCTGATCTAGATCTTCAATCTCCATCTCCAAGCTTGATTCCTGAGCTCCAATGGCGAAGAAATCCTCCAAAATAGCTCCAAGAATGTTCCCAAGTCGCTCTCTCTCTCTAGGGTTCGTCCCTTGGGTGTTTGGGATCCAAAACCCAGCTCTCCCTCTTCTTTGGCTCGAATTTGGGTTAAAAACCAGAATTTCCCGACTCTCACGGCCAGGCCGCACGGCCGTGCAGATCACCACTTTGGCCGTGCGGCTCAAAACGCAACGTGTCGTTTAATCGATCTTCAGCCATCTCACACGGCCAGGGTTGCACGGCCGTGTGAGGAATCCAGCCTGCCCGTGCTCGGCCTCGGCAAAAACCACACGGCCAGGGCGCTCAATGGCACGGCCGTGTGAGAAGTCTGGCCTGCCCGTGCATGCTCTCGTAGAATTCCGCACGGCCTGGATTGTACTTCGCACGGCCGTGCGATGCCATGGTCTGGCCGTGCAGCTTCCTTGAAACTTCGCCATTCGTCCGATCTTCGTCCAATCGACCCCAAAGTCGCTCCTAAGCCTTCATTCACGTACTAGGACCTGAAATATCACAAACAACCACAACCTAGCGTGAAATTGGCCTAAAACACGAGAATCAATACCTCAAACGGTGTAAGAACGGGGGTAAAAACATGTGTAAATGACGGTCTATCAGTCACTATTTTCTCATTTCAATTTAAATGGAGAGGCTTGAACTGTTGTTCCATAATAAGAAAAATTAACGGAAGCATTAGGGGGAGGGGGTGAATAAATTGGATCTTAGAATTATTTGCAGTCAACCAAGTCACAAGCTTGGTTTGAAATAATCATAGAAGGAGTTTTGTATAAGAACACTCTCTTCTTTAGAGTAATCAGTAAAAAATTGTTCACGTTTAAAACAGTTACGCTGGGAATAGAAATCCTGGCGAAGAAATTCTTTGTTGATTTTGAAATCTTGTTGAATGACATCAAGAGCAGAAGGGATTTCTTCTTTAGGAAATGCAGCTTGTGAGACAGTAGGAGACATATTTGGTGTTCTGAAGGTATTATATTAGGAAAAAGAGTTGTGGGAGGTGGTGGAGTATAAACTAGTTGAGGTATGTTGCTAAAGTTGTTGATTCCTCGTAGATCATAGTTGAGTGTAGAGGAGGTATGTCGAGTGGGTATTGGTATGGGATAAAGATTTCTACAGGATTGGCTTTCTAAGGAAGGTGTTGATGAGCTGTCGAGCATCTTCTGTCATTTCAGGGTCTATATAAAAAATGCTAGAGATGGAGTTCCTAGAAGAAGAGATGTTAACAATACCATCAAATGTTGAGTAATTTGATTAACCTGGCTATGGTCGATGCTTTTGGAAATGGTAGCTCCTTCAAGGGTCCATTCTGTAGGAAGAGTAGCTTCAACCCATTTGATAGTTTTGGGATTGACAGTGTTACTACGAGTTAAATCAGTTTGCCAAAATACAGTTTCTCCTTTTGTACCATATTGAAGAGATTTAGAAGAGAAAGCATATTTCATAGCTTTATGGTGTAGGCGGTAAAAAAAGATATAGTAAAGATCCTTGTTGGATTTTATAGTTGAAAGTTTTTATTTGTAAGGTTAAAACATCTAAAATATTTTTGTCATAAAGAGAGACGGTAAAATTTGGAAAAAAAATTAAAGTTAATTGGGCCATTACAAAGAATTAATTCAACAGTTCCAATTAAAGAGTCGTTAAACTCAAGAAATCGACAATCTCGTAAAATCATTAAAATAGCAATTAATAAGGCCTTCCAATTAAAGAAATCGACAATCTCGAAAATCTCTTTCTTTGGTTTTGATGGTATAATCCATTTTTATTGAATTTAAATTTTGATGAACAAGGAAATTATAACTACATTGACGAATTATTGTATAAAATAAATATTAATTGCTTAGGGTATCAACCAGCAGCATCCTTAAACTCAGGTTAACCAAATAATATTCAGAAATGTAGGTATAAGTTTACTATCTGCCCCACAAAATTTTCCTTCCCAAATTTAATTATGTCGATTGCTACTTGCTAGATATATTAGGCTATCTGGCCATGGTTGTGGCAATCACCATATCAAATACGGAAAAAGTTTGGTCGCACAAGAGTCATGTCATCTATTTCACTTATTTTATTCACCCACGTCATTCACGGACTATTCATGCAATTTGGTGTTCATTCATGTAAGAGTTATGATTGTTCATGCAAATGGAATCCCAAATTTTTTCTCTTTTTTCTACCTTATAATTTGTATCCCCATATTTTATGGAATTTTATTTAGATATTTAATATTTCTATAGAAAAGTGTTTCATAATCTACAAAATAACATAAACTTTGATATATTTCAGAATTTAAAACGGATTTTACAACGAAAATAATAAATAACTATATGCGTGAATAAACACCAAGTTGCGTGAATAGTCACTACTCTTTGTGTGAATAACCACCACTATTACATGAATAAATGCCATGAGGCGACGACGAAAATGGTGGGGATTGGCTAACACTCTGGAAGGAGGCAATAGATTCGAAAATGATGCGGCGGAGATAAGGAGGTAGAGAGGGCGGAGGAGAAGGAGAGCGGGAATGGAAGGAGAGGCTGGCAAGGATGGAAGGTGGTGGCCAATGGTAGAGCCACTCAAGGTCAAGGTAGGTCATTTACACCACCTTGGCCCAAAAATATAATAGTAAATTTTTTATGTAATTGTTGATTGAATATTATTGTAAACAATTTTATGAAAATGTAATGTTTTATAATCTCGTTTTAACTTGCAATTAATTCGGGTCTAATTGCACATGTTTTCACTCCGTTTTCTTGTGGTGTCTGGGGTGTTTACTTCTCTTAAGGTTCGATTTTACACTAGGTTGTGCGTGTTTCCAGCATGTTTCAGGTTCTAGTAGGTGAAATTGGCCTTGGAAGCGAAAGTTGAACGAAATAGGGCAAAAGCGAATCGAAAATGGCAAAAAGGGGAAGATCACGGTTAGAGCAACTTTATCACGTTCAGCCGAATGTGAAGAAGAGGTCCATACCGTGAATAGCTTCTTCGTCCAAAAAGTTTGGTACACCTAGAGGGCATAAAAATTGTCACGGTCACTAGACCAGTGAAAGGAACTGAAGCTCATGATTTGGGCCGTGTGGATAGTCTAGTTTCTCCAAGCGAGTTGGTTACCTCTGCGCGCCGCTGGGCCCTAGACATGGTGGAGGGCATGAGACAATGGGTTGCTAGTCTATACAAGACTGATAAATTGGACTCATTTGGAGAGGCAAGGGAGATCTTCAAATTTGAAAGAGCACAAGTGCGCAGACAGGCTCCCAACCTTCAGCATCCTTTAATTTGCATTGATGTTGTCAAAGCAGGCATAATTTCTGGACGTAGGGCTGGTTTGTGGAAGGTGATAGACTTGTTTTGTCTTCTATTGTACTTCTCTTCTAATTACAACAAATATGTAACTCCTCACAATGTTATTGATGTTCGCAGGAGTTTGAATCTTTCCAAGAACTCGTGCGTTCTGACACCTGCAAGAGCCTGATTCACATTTTCTTTGCTCAGTGTGGAATTTATACAAGATTGCTTGTAAACTTAGCTTTAATAAGCCCTTTAACCATTTCAAACTTAGCTTTAATAACACCGTGATAATGCCATCCAAACTTAGCTTTAACAAGCTCTCAAGATCACGCTAGTGATAATAGAACGTGATTAGCGCACGACTGGAGTATAAAAGGATAAGTGAGTTGAACTTTAAAGGGGGGTCCAAGTGAGAGATTGTCATCTTCATCTTCTGATTTTAGAGAGAGAAATTGACGAACAAAGAGGGAAGAAGAGGTTTAGGGTTTGCTCCTAGCTAGAGGATTGAAGGTTTTCATCTTCCAAGGGTGCTTTCGAAAACAAGGAAGGAAGTCAAACACAACACCATGGTTCTTTCCCTCCTTTTTTTTTTGTAATCCCTAGTTTAGCTGTGGAGTAGTTCTCTTTTTCACTTGGGTATTGTGAACCCTAGCCTAAAAATGTGATAGGTTGTTGGATTTGAACTCTATGTGTGTTGATTGTGCGTTTTAATATAATGCTTGAGGTATTTTCATGATTTGTGAGTGTTGGGTTCCATATCTCAATTGGGTCAAATTGACCTAGAATGAGGAAACCCCCACCTTGCGCATGACTCGCTAAAACACAACACCAAACTAAGACCAAGTGCAATCGTAGTCTGGAAATGCAGTATAGTGGGACAAGTAATAAAAATCAACCTTGGGCCTAGATGTATTGCCTACTCCGTGATTATCTATTATCTAGCAGGAAAGATTGAGTGAAGTGTAAGGCAAAATAAACAAAAAGTAGTAGATGTTTTGGGTTCCAAGTTCAAGAAGGAACCACTCAGGTAATTATCCCCCTAGTATACAGTTATGTCGAGTTTTAATTCACCCAGTCTAATTCAATTCAGATTTATACTATGGAAGATCCAGACCTAGCATGGAATCTTTTAAGCTGACCAAGCCCTCTCAAACACGATACCCAGCGAGAAACTGACCTTCACCGAGGTAAAGAGCTAAGGAAATAAAAACAGATCACCTCTATTGGAATGAATTCCAATACAGAGCAATGAATCGATTGACTCTCGGACAATCAATTGACCACTTCCAAATCAAGATGCTCTATTGACATATTCAGATTCTATCGTTCTAGGTCAAAACTGGAAACATACAAGTGTGATCAAGACTAATAGATGATAAGCTTCATAAACATACAAGTATTTTCTACATAAATTATTGATCTTTATGTATGTATGTGTTTGAATTGCTCTAAATTAGTTCATATTGACAATGGAATGGCCCAGTGCAGACCTGCAGAGTCAAACGTCCAGTAGGAGGCCAAACCTATGAAGACCCAAATCGAATTGTTGGGGGTTGGAATCTTCACTCAATAGTCAGCAGCCCTCACAAATCATTGGAATTGGATCAGCTTTCTTGAAGTGAGCAAATGGAAATGGTGGCTCACCAATAGATAAATAGATGCAGAAAAATAAATGCAAGGAGAGAGACTTTAGCTGTCAGCAGCCTTCTCTTGGAAATGGGATATGCAAGTGCCTTGTTTTGTGGGATTAAATCAGCAGTGAATGGATTTAAAAGGGGCAGCAACTAGGGAGCTGAAGGAACACTTTTGGAGACTAGTTTTAGGGAGAAAAATCAAAGGAGAGAGCTCACTTTGGCACACTTTGGAGTTGAGCATTTTGAAGAAAGGAAGGCTCTTGTAAGTTGGGGATTAACTTCAGCACTTAGTACTTCCCTAGTCCTTTGTTTTGGTAATTAGTTATGATGTTGAATATTAGCATGTTTATGTTCTTTCTTTTCATCAGGAACTAATCCCCCAATTTCTGGGGGAAACTTATGGATTTCATCATCTAGACTCGATGTTTTAATCACGACTTGTTCTTTTCTATCTTGTGAAATTGTTTAACGCTTTGTGTTGATTGGCCACCTTTACAATGATTTGTAGTTTTCTAGGTTAATGCCGATAGTGAAAACCTAGTAACCGAACATATTTCACACGACATAATTTCCTATCGAAGCGATAATGGATTAAATAGGGAATTATGGAGTCATTTTAGGGATATCGTTCTTAAGGCTAATTAATTAATTTAGTTAACTACAATAGTAGAAATTGTCTTAATTAGTTAGTACGTGGTAATTTTCAATAGAGATAGCTATCAAATTAGAGGTATCCCGACTGTAGAAATATGGATTAAATTGATTGACAAGGGTAATTAAATTTACTAAGGTAAAATAGTAAAATTGTGTGTTCCCCCGGAACTCTCCAATATCAATTTCTCCAAAATAGTTGATTTATCGAGTTACTTAATTTGTGCAATCTTTGAAAATCATCACCTAATTACAACCTTTGCAATTTCTATAGTTTCTTGAACTAAATTTGTTAATTATTGAATTTCACTAATCCCCTAGAGAACAACAATTTTACATACACTTTATTAATGAGAAATCATTATGAGAATAATGAAAATCTACTCCAGGCTGGAAATTGGTACTCAAAGGGTTGTAGATCGCTCCAATGTCTTCAATTGGCTCCAATCCATGCCCAAGGGTGTTGTTCGTCACTTTCTCGCTCTAGCCCTTTTTTAACTTGTGAACCCTAGCCTAAAAATGTGATAGGTTGTTGGATTTGAACTCTATGTGTGTTGGTTGTGTGTTTTAATATAATTCTTGAGGTATTTTCATAATTTGAGAGTGTTGGGTTCCATATCTCATTTGGGTCAAATTGACCTAGAAGGAGGAAATCCCCACCTTGCCCATGACTCGCTAAAATACAACACCAAACTCAGACCAAGTGCAATCAAAAGTCCGGAAATGCAGTATAGTGGGACAAGTAATAAAAGTCAACCTGGAGCATAGATGTATCGCCTACTCCATGATTATCTATTATCTAGCTGGAAAGATTGAGTGAAGTGTTCAAAGGCAAAATAAACATAAAGGCAGTAGATGTTATGGTTTCTAAGTTCGAGAAGGGACCACTCAGGTAATGATTCCCCCTAGTCTACAGTTATGTCGAGTTGCAATTCACCCAGTCCAATTCAATTCAGATTTATACTACGGAAGATCTGGACCTAGTTTGGAATCTCTTAAGAAGACCAAGCCCTCTCAAACACGATATCCGGCGGGCGACTGACATTCATCGAGGTAAAGTGCGAAGGAAATAAAAGCAGATCTCCTTTACTGGAATGAATTCCAATATAGAGCAATGAATCGCTTGACTCTCGCAAAATCGATTCACCACTTCGGAATCAGGATACTCTATTGACCTATTCAGATTCTATCGTTCTAGGTCAAAGCTGGAAACATACAAGTGTGATCAAGACTCATAGATATTTGAATAAAACCTCAATTGGATATATAATCATCAATGTACTGAAAAGGGTTCATACAACTGCTCCTAACATGCAAAACTAGGGTTCTTCATACCCAAGTGATAAAGAAGAGTTTACTCCACGGAGAGAAGGAAAAACGGCAAGCTTGGAAGAAAAATCATCATGGGAATAATGAAAATCTGCTCCATGCTAGAAATCGGTACTCCGAGGGTTGGAGATCGAGCTCCATTGTCTTCAATTTGCTCCAATCCGTGTCAAAGGTTGTTCTTTGTCACATTCTCTCTCTAGGGTTCTCTCTAGCCCTTTTTATCTTGGAAAATTGGATTCTCAACCAACTTCCACCAGTTGCAGCTTAGAGAACCCGATGCCGAAATCTACGGTCAGAATCCACGATCGTGGAATTGGAGTTCCGATTGTGGATTTCCCAAAAAAATTTGCGCAACGATGCCCAAAACCCACGGTTGCCTCCTTTAAATCCCCGGTCGTGGAATTACGTCACCTGACCGTGGATTTCCCCTAAGAAAAAATCATGGTCCATTCTGGAATCTACGTTCATGGATTTAGGCGCATGACTGTGGATTTGGGTGCTTTGACTTTCGGTTTCTGACACGCTAAAACACAACACCAAACTGCGACCAAGTGTAATCGCAGTCCGGGAATGCAGTAAAGTAGCAAGTTCTAATGTCAACCCGGGGTCTAGATCTATTGCCTACTCCGTGATTATCTATTATCTAGCAAACTAAGTCGAGTGATTGTTGTTTTAACTAAAAGCAGTAAAAGCAGGAAATGGTTCGGTTTTCTGAAGTCAAGGAAGAGTCACTCGGGAATGAGTCCCCCTAGCTCCTTAGTTAGGTCTCAATTGTAATTACCCTGGGTTGATTTACTGTTGATTAAACTGCGGAAGATCTGACAGTAGCTTGGAATCTCTTAAGCTGACCAAGCCCTCTCAGTCAAACTACCCGGCAGACGACTAGTCTTCACCGGGATAGAAAGCTGAGGCTATGAACACAGAACTCCACTACTGGAATTAGATTCCAATACAAAGCAGTAGATTGACTAACTCTCGTATAGCCAATCCACTGCTACCGAATGATGTAGCTCTAACAACCTAATCAGATTCTATCTATCTCAGGTTGCAGCAGAAATCAAGAAAAGCTGATCAGACTTCAATCAATTCAATGAATCATGCATCATTCGATTATAATCAAGCAGTATAACAATCCCAAGTCATTACAATCAAAATCCCTAACACATGGAACTAGGGTTCTTCATACCCAAGTGAGAGAAAGTTCTACTCCATAGAGAGAGGGGAAAACAGGATACAAAGCAGTCATACTCATAACAATGGGAAGAATCTGCTATGGGATGATGATTATCACTCCTATGATGATCTCCAAGCTTGATTTGATGAAACCCAGCTCCTAAACCACTCTTAGGATGTGTTCTTCGCACTTTCTCTCTCTAGGGCTCTGTTTTTGCTCCAAAAAGTCGATTCCCTCACTTGTGGCTCGGAATTGGGTAAAACCCAAGATTTCCCGACTCACACGGGCAGGCCACCCGGCCGTGTGGCTTACCCAGTTGCCCGTGTGGCTTCCAAAATGCTGCGTCTAAATTAATCGAACTTCAGGCTTCCCACACGGCCAGGGTCACACGG